CTTATGAGAAATTAATTCACTTTGGCAAGGTATTTGGTTGTGAATAAAAATACATCCATTCATAGAGGTGGTCGACTTTTTGGGGGGTGTCGACTTTTTCCCCGGTTCATTGTACGTGAACGTTAGCGATGGTTGCTTTCGCGGCCTGGTGTGCATGTCCTTGATACCGAGATCGACGGCTCGCGTTTCCATTACGACTCGGCCATGAACGCGGCGAGGACGGCATTGTTTGCGTCGTCCGCCGCCCACTTGTTGAGGAGCAGTTCAAATTTGGCGCGGCGATCTGCTACGAGCGCTGGGTTGGTGCGCTGCAGCGCGGTCCACACGCCCGCTTGGGGCATTCCCTCGCACCCACGCGTTTGGCACAACGTGTCGTGCAGTTGCTTGAACTCGTTGTACCGTTTCTGGACCTTGACGCCGTCGTGGCGTTGGACTGTGTAATGCACCACACCCTGAATGTGAACAACATCGTCCAAGATCTCAAATGCCTTTGCTTGTGGTGCTTCGATCGCGTCGTGGTGCGTACCGACAGATGCAACGTCTTCGACCGGTCCTGGCGCGTCGACCAGCCCTGGCGACGGCACGCTGTCGTCCGCCGCCATCACTTCAACGGGCTCGACCGTCTTTGGAAAGTCCTCGAGCACCGGGTTTGTGTTCAAGTGCGAGGCGTCCACATCGACAGGTTCGGTGGCCAATGTGGACTGCAAACAGCCCATGGTTGGCCGTGTGTGTTGGTCGGGAAATTTCAGAGTATATGCAGAACGTGCTGTGGGGCTGGCCGTGGATGGACCGAGTGACCCGCAACTCATCCAGCGCGACTCACGTCCTGGTGCGAGCCTGCTGCGTCGCTCTTTGGCATCGCATGGCACGGCTAGAATCGCGGCGCGGCGGCGTCTTCGACCCTCTCTGCCACCCAAGTCCCATATGCCCCAAAAAAGAAACCTTTTTATCTTGCACTTTGTATGCCACCTGTTGTCGCGCGGGAGGACATTTGGAATCGGTGAAATCGGGTGGCTGGCCCTTGCAAAATGCACCACGACCGACGTCTCACGCCGCTCCAGCTGGGGCAACCATCCACACAGCTGCCGCGTGCTGCGCCGTGTGCCGTCGCTGGGTGTGCGTGCATTACGCTAAAGTGCCAAAACACGGACCATGGGGTGCCGCCAGTCCACGGCGGCCAGTGCCCCAGCACCACACGGCCGCCCCCTCGTCAGGTACTCTGTCGAGGCGTCAAGGCGATCGTTACTGCGGATTGCCGACCACCTGGATGAACTTGAAGATGCCGTTCCCGATGCAGTGCTTGCCAAGTGGGAGCGCATCGTCGAGCAGGTCATCGCCGCCACTGTGGACACGTCGCAACTGGAGCCGACAACGCGACGAATCGATCCATGTGTCGAGCGCGCGGCAAGCAGCCAACACGACGTTGAGATCGTACGAAGAACCGCGTTGAAACCCCAAGACGCCGCGTCGCCGCCAGTCGTCGATGGCACGCCACACGATTCGGTCGTCGGCAACCGAGTTGGCGCCTCGAGCTCGTACTGGGGCACTGACGACACGCCTGCTGCTGCACGATCCAGTCAAGATGCCAACGTGAACGTTGTGCTGCAAAACACTATGCCAGCGGCATCGCTTGTCGCCGCTCCATCCAACCCTGCTCCAGCGCACATGCCCGAGGATCCAGGTCGGAAACGACATGGCGGCACGGACGGTGCCCAGATCGCACCACCCGAAGGCCTCGAGACCGCGCGCTCGCAGCGCTCCAACACGATGTTGTCGTTTGTGAAAGCGAGAGATACCACATCGTCCAGATGTCGCAACGACGCGGTCGGCTCGTTGGCAAACCCCACGCAGCCAGTGACCGTCGATGGTTCCACCGACAAGGTGACCACGGACGCTGTTTCCGGCATCGCAGCCACACGGACGACCTGCATCCCCTCCTGCTCACTCGCCCCCGCGGCGATGCTCCGTACGTCAACGCTTTCGTGATTACTTCGTATCACTTCGCCACAGAAAACGCACATGACGGCCCCCCGAGTGCGATGGGCTTCATGCTCCAGCCGCTGGACCAAGCGCAGCTGGAGCCCGTGGTGAGCACACCGTTGAGTTGGGTCCGGGCTGGAGGTTCGTCCTCGTGTCGACTAGGCACTTGTGCAATGTAGCGATCCCACGTACCCCTCAACTTTAGCGCCCACCGCGTTCGAGGTTCGAGGCACGATCATCGACGGCGGCACCGCCATGTTCATGGTGCACGCACCGAACCGTTCCAAACCAATCTACCGCCAGTTCAACGACTTCAAGCAGCTGCATGCAGCCGTGGCGCCTGTCATGGCGCTCCCAGCGCACCGCAGTCTAACGTTTCCACCGCTTCCTCGCGCAGGTACGTCGGGACGACGGTGGCATTTCCAACGGACATTCCCATGTGGATGGACAGGGCTCTTGACGAGACTCGTTCGGCAAAAACAAGCGCTGATCCACGACCAGTCGCTCGTATTTGAAGCGATGCTGAATGCGATTGCATCCCATCCACTCGCGTCCGAGAGCGTCGACCTGCAGCGCTTCTTGGCCTGAACTCCTGAATAATGTAATGTACAGCAACTGCCATGAAAAGCGGCATGGCTCTGGACGAGCGGCGTGGTTGCTATGAGGAATACGCCCACGAACCGTGTGTGGCTCGACCCTCGATCACTCGTTGTGTTGAGTCGTGAATCTTGGCCACCACGACAATCGGCTGCGCTAGCCGACGACGTGCATCCATGCGATGCGGTGGCGCATGGCCGACCACATCGAGACACTTGACCGCCTCACGAAACACGGTGTGCCAGCCTCCGTTTTGATGTGTCCAAGACCTAGCGCGCGCGAACTGGGGAGCTGACCGCGTGCACTGCTGCAAGCGGCGCGGCGGCGGAGCTGGTGGGTTCATTTTTTCGGTCAGAAATGCAAATTTTTTGGGCTGCGGTGTATCCAATGGGAATTTTTTTTTAATATCGTTGTATTAAATCTTCTGAGTGCAGAAAACTACGCTGTCTTGCACTGCGGATGATTTTATAACCGATATTAAAATACATCCTGCGGCGACTTCTGTGACACCGCCACGACGTCCCGTATCAATCCGTTCCAGGCATAAAACGTACGACGTCATACTTTAAAACGCCGTCTGTGGCACCGATGCTTGGCAAAAAAACGTATACGTTTTAGGTTTAAACACTGCCATTGAGACACAGGGACAAGGAAAATTTCGCGTCGCGCCGGTGCGGTGTCCCTCTGGCGGCCACATGGCCCCGACAGCATGCACTCGGTCAGCTTCCACTTTGTTTTTGGATCCACGCGCGGCAAGCCATGCATGACAGCGCCGACTCGGTCAAGCAGGGAGTGCTCTTCAAGCGGGGAGAAGGCGGCTTCCTGAAGCGAAAAACGTGGAAGCGGCGGTACTTTCAACTGTGCGATGCCGAGCTGCGGTACTACGACACATTGAACGGCGTCGAGAAGGGCAAGGTGCTGCTCTCGACCGACGACTTTGTCGAGATCATGCCGAAAGACTGCCCGAAAACTGGCGACTCGGCCTCGACGCAGTGGCGGCTGGCACTGCACACCCCTACCAGGCGCTTCCTCCTCTCGGCCTCGACCGAGTTTGACATGTACAGGTGGGCGGAAGCCATCGCGCGAGCTGTTGAGACATCTCCGCGTAAACCGTCCATGCATACAACGTCACCACCGTCGAGAATGCGCGCCACGATGTAAGCCTCGACCAGGCCGTAATTACACTTGTCCATCGATTGCGTTGACACGCGTGCATGGTCGGGTTCATAGGGCAGACGAGTCTGGCGCCGAGCAGCGCACTGCGCTGTGGACGCGACGCCCCTGCACAACTGGCCAACAAAGCTCCCTTCATGGCAGTCGTCGCCAGAAAGAAATAGAGCACGTGGCCGACTGTAAGGAACGACCATGCACGTGAAGCTGCCACGTCGGCGGCGCGGGGAAAGGCATGCAGAATTGTGCCGTCCACTGCGCCGCCGACTACTATGGCCCAGACTCTTGCGCATTGTTCGCCATGTCGTGGACGTGTGTACACCTTTCTTCCAGATGCGAACATGCCTCTTGACGCGGGACGCATCGTCGGATCTCTTTCGCCGATTGTCGCTTCCAATAGCACGATTGTTCACGCTAGAGGAGCACCCTCTCCTTGACCGAGTCGGCGCTGTCGGCCACGTGGGCCCAACAACAAGTTCGACGCCTGGCTCGTGACTTGTATGGGCGTCCAACAGGCCATCGCTGCCCGACTCGCTCTACGTTTAACGGAAGGCGGATGGGCACAACGCTGTTCGAAGAGAAGGACGTCCCACGAATGACGACGCGGTGGTCGGTCCCCAGCCTTGCGCCACACGATCTCTTGTGCTGAGTTGTCCTGCGCCACACAGCGCGACAACTCAACAAAGGCCACGTCCAACGGATGGTCGTCCGCGCCGTGCAGGTCCCCCACCATTACTACACGCAAACGTTGACGTAGACGACGGCGGGTTCTCGAGCCTATCGAGCTCAATGTGCTATCCTCATCTGCCTGCCTCGGCGGTACGCCAGGCTCGACGCGCC